TGGTGATCTTGTTCTGTACTGTAATTTGATAGAATTGTCAAGAAAGCTGTGTGATTATACTAAGGCGATTTCGATTTTTTCTAGACTGAAAACATCAGGGATTACTCCTGATCTTGTTGCTTACAATACTATGATTAATGTTTTTGGAAAAGCAAAGCTTTTTCGCGAAGCTCAGTTGTTGGTCAAAGAGATGAGGTCAGTGGGTGTTTTGCCGGATACAGTGAGTTACTCAACTCTCTTGACGATGTACGTTGAGAACCAAAAGTTTTTAGAGGCTCTATCTGTTTTCTCCGAGATGAATGAGGTGAAGTGCCCTCTTGATCTCACAACTTGTAATATAATGATTGATGTTTATGGACAGCTCGATATGGCCAAGGAAGCAGATAGATTGTTTTGGAGTATGAGGAAAATGGGAATTGAACCAAATGTTGTCAGCTACAATACTCTTCTGAGGGTTTATGGTGAAGCTGAGCTTTTCGGGGAAGCTATACATTTGTTTAGGTTGATGCAAAGAAAAAATATTGAACAAAATGTTGTCACTTACAACACCATGATTAAGATATATGGAAAGACACTGGAACATGAGAAAGCCAACAATCTTATTCAGGAAATGCAGAACATAGGAATTGAGCCCAATGCTATTACCTACTCGACCATAATATCTATATGGGCTAAAGTGGGAAAACTAGATCGAGCTGCTATGTTATTCCAGAAGCTGAGGAGTTCCGGAGTTGAAATTGATCAAGTTCTATACCAGACAATGATTGTAGCATATGAAAGAGCTGGTTTGGTTGCACATGCTAAACGTTTGTTACATGAGTTGAAGCGCCCTGACAATATTCCTAGAGAAACTGCAATAACAATTCTTGCTGGATCTGGACGAATAGAGGAAGCTACATGGGTGTTCAGACAAGCTTTTGATGCTGGAGAATTGAAGGATATTGCAGTTTTTGAGTGTATGATAGAGTTATATTCCAGAAATAGGAAGTACACCAATCTCATTGAGGTATTCGAGAAGATGAGTGGAGCAGGATATTTTCCTAATTCTAATGTGATTGCTCTAGTCCTTAACGCTTATGGGAAGCTGCAGGAGTTTGAAAAGGCAGACATGGTATATAAAGAGATGCATGAAGAGGGATGTGTTTTCTCTGATGAAGTTCACTTTCAAATGCTTAGTCTTTATGGTGCTAGAAGGAATTACGAGATGGTTGAGACACTCTATAAGGTGCTAGACTCTGATCCTAATGTTAACAAGAAAGAGTTGCATCTTGTTGTTGCTGCCATTTATGAAAAAGCAAACAGAATGAATGATGCATCTCGAATTATAAATCGGATGACTTATAGAGGAGCTATGTGATCTTAACTCTTGTATGCTTGAAAGTAAGTAATATTTGTTATAATAGATTGCGTTTGTTTATAATATGAATTGAGAATTTAAGCTACATGACAGTTATTTTTCTAATTCCATGTAAATGTATAGTACAGTCTCTTGTAGTTATTTTTTCACCAAATCTTTCAGAATTTTTTATCTAAATTAGTTTCATAAACCATACTCACTTGTTTGGTTACATATAAAAATTACTAAATCTTTGTAACACAACTTAATCATGCTACAAATACATTGACCCTTTTAGTAGAGAACTTTATGCTAATGTGTTTATATACTGGAATGTAATATTATACATCTTTCTCAATAACTAGACATCACAATTAAAAAAAAAAATGTTTAAGAACATTTTCTATTGATCTAAATTTACCCAGATTCAATCGTGCAGTAAGAATCTGCAATGTTTATCTCTATATAGTATATATACTATAGGAATTAAGAAAAAGAAACAAAATATTGAATGAATCTATGTTTATTGATATGTTAATAGTCAATAATTTAACAATTAGAAGATATGATAAATATTAACTAAAAGAAACAAGACTTTAAAGAAGAAAAAAAAAGAGAAGAAGAAACAAGTTAAATACTATCGGTCGAAATTAGGATATGTAGCGGTAGGATGTTGTTGTCTATAGAATTCAAGTTGAGACCGTACATCCTGAAGTTCTTGCAAACTAATCTGTAATTGTTGGCGAAGATACGAAATACACTCCACACATCCATAAACAGGAAACTTGGCCCTCATATCAGATTCAAAAATTATAGATTTCATAGCGTCTGATTTTTGATCTTCGTCTTTCAATTCCTGCAATATTTTTACTATGTTACGTACACCAAAGAGACGATGTGCATTTTGAAACTTTTTAGGCTGATTCGCTGGGAAATAAGGAGCTAAAACACAATCTGAAGTACATTTTCTTCTTTGGTACTTGCATGCAGCACAAGATACTCGACTCATTTACACTTTTTTTTCTTCTTTTTTTTAACTATATTTTTTTTTCTAGAATAGATGAGAGAGGAGAGACTTTTTATTTTCAAATTTTTCATATATCTTTTTATCTTAACAATAACTCATGTTGGAATATCTAAGAGGAGACTGTTTTAACTTTCAAATTTGACATCAGGTACTATTTTATCTCAACAGAAAAACATTTTGAATTTGTTAAGCAAAGACCAAGTCAATATTATGATATCATTTGTTTCATCAAATACAACTTTGTTTTACTACTCCACAATCACTCAAATATTAATATTTCTAACATGTAATTTTGCTTTAAGCTAAATTTTAAAGGAATAAAAAAGGTAGCCATCTGAATCATTTTGCGTCCCAGTGTGTCTTATCAATAAAATTTAAATTCCTTTAGCACAAAGTCATCTAGAGAGTGTTTTATCCATATCGAAGACTTAAAATTCAAATTTAATCAGACTCAATCAATATTGTTAAAAAAGAAAATAGAAAATAGTAAATCGTAAATCCAAATGTGAAACATCGTACATGTTATACTGCTAATGTCTATTTGCCAAATGGTGATGGTAGTTAGATTTCCTAGTTTTTGCTACTAATTACGAACTGATTTATAGTGTAAATTTTTTTTTCCACATTGCGCTTAAAAACAAGTTTTGACGACCTATGATAGAATAGCACTAATAATAATGTGATAAAAAGTAAAAGAGAAGGTGTAATTTAATTTAATTTTCGAAAGTTTACCCACTTGGAATTACCTAACAAATTTAATTTTTTAAAATTTACCATTTTACTTTTTATTTTACCTGAACAGAAACATATGTTGAGAGGAGACTATTTTAAACTTTCAAATTTGACATCACTCAACAGAAAAAAATAACATGTTGAATTAGTTGGAATAATTATGATGTCATTGTTTATTTTATTATGTCATCATAATTATTCAATGTTTATTATATAAACAAATAAAATTTATTCAATGTTTTATTATAATAATATTTATTTTAAAAAATTATTTTGAAAAAATAAATGTGGGTTTGGGTTGATATTTTATAATTTTATTCAATGTTTTTATATAAACAAATAAAATTTATTTTAAAAATCATCTTTCAATAATTTTTGGGGCCACTGGTGTTATTTTAATTGATCATGTCATGTCACAGAGAGTGTATCTCACACAGTTCATAATTTTTGCTGATTATATAAACAAATAAAATTTATTCAATGTTTTATTATATAAACAAATATAAAATTTATTCATAATTTTTGCTGTTTATGAAAGAATATTTAATAAGAACAAATTTTGAATAGATAAAACTGCTTAATAAGTAATAATATTAGTTGATGTATCTAAATGAAATATGCGGACAACTTTAAGTGATTGTAGATGATTTAAGCCTAAAAATAGATGAAAAAAGGATAAAAAGTACCAGCTTTGTTTTATTAGTTGACTATGCCCTTACCATTAAAGTGAAATTATTTTTTACCCATATCATTACTGATTTCACCATATATATAAATATACCCCTCATTTGATGGAAATCCCCAATTTGTTCTTTGTTCATCTCTTGGGTTAAGTGTTATAGGGCGGGCATGGATTTCAAAATGGATAATGGGTCATTTTTTAAGATTCGGGTTAATTTAAGTTGATTTGGAAATTTTTGTCAAATGAGGAATAATATATGATGAAATTAATCATGATAGAGGTAAAAAATAACTTCACTTTAACGATAAAGTTATAGTCAACCAATAAAATAAAGTTGAGAGATATTTTTGACCCTTTTTCCAAAATATATTACAAAATTTGGCATTAATACTATGAGATGTAACTTAAGGATCCAATGTAACACCTATATTAAAACTCCTCAGCGATCCTTATAAAACATATGTATATATAACAAGTACCCATTTTGAACAAAAAAAACTTGACCTAGCCACCTAGGCTTATTAAAGATTGATATTGATTTTACCATATCATATCAAATCTAAGGAACAGTAATGAAATAATGAAAGAAATTAAAGTAATCTGTACCTCTAATTAAATTCATACTTGTATTTTCAATTAAAAGATTGATATTGATTTACCATGCCAAATTTTTCTATCCGAGTTGATAAAATTTGAAAGTTTTTCTTTTTTTCCTTTTATTTAAATTCAACGACTTTCAATTAAAAGATTGATATTGATTTACCATGCCAAATTTTTCCATCCGAGTTGATAAAATTTGAAAGTTTTTCTTTTTTTCCTTTTATTTAAATTCAACGACTAGTTGTTGATCAGGTGACAATATAATTTGCAACGTTAATTTGGTCCTCTAATTTTTTTTTAGCTAAACGACATATATATTTTTTTTCCATTTGTACGCCGCAACAACTAGCCCAATTGTTGTTTCCTATAGTTGAAATTTCAAATATATTTTAGAGCCAGGGAAACATGTGCCGTGCCCAAAGCATCCAAAAAAAGTTGAATTTTTGAAGTCAACCCTCCCAAGTCATCGATTTGAACAGTACAATTTCTCGATTTTAATTTATTTCTTTTAGCCCATTTAAATTTTGTTTCTAGCAATTCTTTGATTTTATTTTTATATATGCCAAAATATGTTCAACATAATAAGATTTAAGATAAATTTGATAGAACAGTAACAAATTAGAATAAGACAAATAAATTAAAAAACGAAAGAATAGTATTGGAAAGCAGAGTCCTTTAAATAACTGACCATAAGAAGCAGGGAGTACCAAACAAATAATTGCTTTACAAAAATTAAGAGATAATGGAGTTCTTCAACAGAGCTAAAGTTGTTCGGCTCAAAGGTCATCTTGGCAAATACCTTGTCGCCGATGATGACGAAAGAACTGTCCGTCAAAGCCGTAATGGGTCATCAAAAAAGGCAGGTTGGATGGTGGAAATGGTTCAAGGCAATCCTCACCTCATTCGTCTCCGGAGTTGCAATGACAAATATTTATCGGCATCTGAGGACGCTTTCCTCCTTGGCATGACGGGTAAGAGAGTACTCCAAGCATTACCAGGTAGCACGGCGGATGGTTTAATTGAATGGGAGCCAATAAAGGAAGGATATCAAGTGAAATTAAGGACAAGAGGAGGAAAATTCTTGAGGGCTAATGGAGCAACACCTCCATGGAGAAATTCTGTAACTCATGATTTACCTCATAGGACTGCTACACAAGATTGGGTATTATGGGATGTGGATGTGATTGATATATCTGTACTGGATTCTGAATCCTTACAGAGTTATCCTTCAACTCTATCGACCTTTTCTTCTTTTGCGGAGGATGATTTTAACGATTATTCTAACATTCGTCGCTCTGTTTCTGAAATTCCCAGCTGTCCATCAATTTCATCAGATCGGTCTTCATGTTCAAGTTCCAGACAGGTATGACAATTAGTGGTCACAAATGGATTAAATTTGAACGGATAAAAATCAATAAATGAGTTATAGTTTTAAACAAATGTGTCATAACTCAATCGTACGAATTTGGAAATTGATTTGATTTTTATACTTTTGTTTTGGCTAGTTAATCTGATGCTTCCTTTGATCTATGAATGTAGAATGGCATGGAATTCTTCGACAGAGCTGAAGCAGTTAGACTTCAGAGCCATCTCGGAAAGTACCTACTGGCGGATGAAGACGAACAAACTGTTCGACAGAGCAGAAACGGATCATCGCACAGGGCGCGATGGACAGTTGAATTAGTTGCCGGAAAAAACAATTTAATTAGACTGAAAAGCTGCTATGGGCTGTACCTAACAGCAACTGAACAACCATTTCTTTTGGGAATGACTGGTAAAAAAGTTGTTCAAGCTCTTTCAACAAAGAATATGGATGGGTCAATTGAATGGGAACCAATAAAAGAAGGATTTCATGTGAAGCTTAGAACAAATGAAGGGAAATATTTGAGGGCTAATGGAGCAACACCACCATGGAGAAATTCTATAACACATGATGTTCCTAACAGGACAGCTACTCAAGATTGGGTTATGTGGGGAGTAGAAGTTGTGGACATTACTATTTCAGATACTAATGAATCAGTATCGACGAGTTTATCGCCAGCGTCAAGTTTCAATTCCGTGCTCGATCATTACACAACTTCTCCTACTGGATCCCCAAATGTCGTAAACTACCGATCCAAGAGGTCTATGAACACAAAGGTACTACATTTTTCGATAAGTTTAACTTATATAATCGTCTGTAGAATCATGAATGACATGGCTAAATTGAGTCAATAATGTGAATATGTTTAATCCTTTTTACATAAGCAACGATGGAAAATATCTTGTTTTCTTCCACTAGGCCACGTACTAGTCAACAACCTAATTTGGTAGGGTCAATATGCAAGGCTGGAATATTTATTTTGCCATGTCGATCAATTGTAGTAATTTGAAAATATGTATATCGAATCTTCAATAGTCAAAATCATTAAAAAGGTTAACGTCTAAAGTGACAGCAAGATTAAAATAAAAAAAAAGTTAGGGCCTCCTTGGAGAGTAAATTTGGTGTACAATTGAACGTCATCATACAGTTTGACATACTAGTCAAGTAATTACTCAATCACATGATACTGATTATTCAGTGTAGTTTAAGGAACAGTTAAATGAGCTAAATTTCTTACAAGTTTTCAATTAAAAAAAATAGGATAAGTGGTCGGTTCCTTTTCTTTTTTTTTTTTACTTTTTCATTTTTAATATTAATAAAAAAACTAAATTAATAAAATCTTTTGTAGTTGTCTGAACAATTACTGAAATTATCTAGATAAGTTATAAAGTTCTTGTACAACTGGAGTTGTCGAGCGACTAAAGAAGTTGTCCCAATAAATTAAGTTTTTTCCAAAGGAGTTGGGTTATATGCAATTTATTTTTCTACTTTTCTTAAATATGTCATTTTCAAACTTATTTTCTTACAGAAAATATTTTCGAAACATTTTGATATGCCAAACTTTTTCCAAGGCAATGTACAAAAATAAAAGAAAAATATACATAAAAAAAGTTAATATACAACTTATTAATTTATCTATCTTACTTATATTTTTAGTTTATTCTAAAAAAATAGTATTTTTCTATTCATAACATAACTTACATACATTTTATTTGTTTAATTTAATAAAATAAGATTCAAAAGTCCATTTACTTTTTAAAAAATAAATTTAGTGTCAAATCAAAATCAGATAAATAGATTAAAACGTGAGATTACTATTTTCATCTCTCATGTGACATTACTTTAATAACCATTAATGAACGCCTTTAGCTTCCATTGTTAGTTACTTGATAAATTTCCAGATCTTTTTTCGCGTGTCCATCCACATGGAACATTCTTTCTAAATACTCAAAGAATCACTATACATGTGAATTTCTAGATTTTTAAAAATAAAAATTAGTTTTATAAAGCGTTGTTTGATCATTGCAATTTTTTTAAACCATTGCAGAATTCTGGGATGGAATTCTTCCAGAAAGCTAAATCGGTTAGGCTAAAAAGCCGACATGACAAATTCTTATTAGCAGATCCTGATCAAGAAACGGTGTACCAAGATCGCAATGGAACTTCCCAGGGTGCAAAATGGACAATTGAATTCCCTGAAGAAGTCGAAAATGTTATCAGGTTGAAGAGTTGTTATGGAAAATATCTAACAGCCACAGATGATCAATTCCTTTTTGGTGTTACGGGTTGTAAAGTTGTTCAGAGTTTGCCTAAAAAGTTAGATTCCTTAATTGAGTGGGAACCAATGAAGGATGGATTCTTAGTGAAGCTTAAAACCAGATATGGGAATTATTTACGCGCAAATGGTGGATTACCCCCTTGGCGAAATTCAATTACACATGATATACCTCATAGACATCACGATTGGATCTTATGGCAAGTGGATATTGTTGAAATATTGCCAGAATCAGAAATTATTCCTCAATCACGATTGGACGATAATTCCAGCTCTTCTTTTCATTTTACATCCCCTACATATCATGAGAGTGAGGTTAGTTTACTCGAAAAACAGCTAAGTCTTTGTTCTTCAATCATAATGCAATATGAGATGTGATTGTTATTTATTTCTCCATTATTTAATTTTTCAGTCAAGAGATGCATTTGATGCTTCCACGGTGAAGTCTGAAGGTCGGTTGATCTATTACCATGTGGCTGATGAAAATGGATATGCAAATGATGCAGTGGAAGGGCCATCTTTTCAATTCAAAGGGCACAGTGTAGGGGAACTGACTCAAAAGTTGGAGGAAATAACAGGGATGGATGATATTACTGTCTGTTCACGAAATAAATTCAATGGGAATCTATATCCACTCCGTTTAGCATTGCCTCCAAACAACGCGGATATGAATGTTGTGGTAGTTCCTGCATCAGCCAAAAGTAAGTAGAATTCTCCATCTCCGTGTGAAAGAAGTTGCAACACTTCTAGATGCATGCCACATGCTATTGGTTAAGTTTTGCATCTGTAATTACTGCAGATTTTGTTCAAGATAATGAAATTTTAATGAGTTTAGACTAGAAGCATGGGCGATTTTGGATGTATACACCAAATCGATGAAATTCATACCAGAACCATAATCTTTATATTTGGTTTCCTATTAAGTATGTCATTCTAACTGATGAACCACCGTGACTCCTTGCAATCAAGTGTTTTCTTCTGTCTCTATTAGCCAGTGTTTTATGGCTAATTGACAGTACCCATAAAACTTGATATACTCAACTTCTTTTGTTTAAAGCTGAAGAAAGGGAAATTTTAGGAAAAACTCATAAACGACAAAACATTCATTACAACATTCACAATAAAGGAAAAACCAAAATGAAAAATTGCTTTCATTTACTTTCTCAATAGATATGAAACTAAATTCTCATACAACAACAAATTCTTAAAAGAAAAGGCTCCTGGCTTCTGTAAGAAAATTTCCAAGAGAAGAATGTGTGGATATCAATCTAGTATACACCGTATTCCTAAAGTAAAATACATGTGATTGCGATCATCACACCAGATATAAATGCCTAATATTCATTGCATGACTAGTAAGAATATTGTCAACAGGAGCACAAGTCTCGAATGTTGATGATCCACCATTGTATAGAAAGAATGGATCTTTCAGCAACTCTTCTGCAGACGGCCTAACAGACATGGGAAGTATACACTTCTCAATAATATCTCTCACTCTGTAGTCCTTCACATTTCCAAGAGACACTGGCTTTACACCAGTGTACACTTTCTTAAATGTATGCATCTGATTCCTGCATTCCATATATGGATATTCACCGGTAACCATCTCAAGAAGACACATCCCGAATGAATATGCATCAACCAACTCATTGTATTCTCCATTATAGCACTCTGGAGCCATGAATTCAGGGGTACATTTAGGCTCTTTTTCTTTCACAAAATCACCATCCATAATACAAACAGCCAGCCCAAATTGCTTCCCATCACTAGCAACGAACACATTGTCACATTTGATGTCTCGATGAATAATCTTAGGGCTCTGGCTATGGAGAAAACACAAACCTTGCAGAATCTGTCTTCCCCAATTCTTGATACTCACCAAATCAACACCAACACCATTATGAATATACTTTTTTAAGCTGCCCGAGGAGAATAACTCCGTGATCATGTTCAAAATTTTGGACTCTGAATCAACCCAATAATGGTAACACTTAATAATTCTTTCATGGTTTAAGGACTTCAACAGAGAAGGAAAATTTCTCTACAACTCTGTAGAACTCGTCATCCATTGTGCAAACACGAACAATAACTCAAATTCAAATTTGAAGAAATTAAAAAAATATGAGGTGATCAAACTAATGCTAAGGGTTACCAATAGTAGTCCTAGTTAGGAAAAAACTAAAAACTTATTTGATCTGGATTGTGTAAATGAAGAGATTAGGACTTAGAAAAGTTCCTAAATTCTTTATAGAAAATAATACGTAATTAGATTAATTTAATTAAAACTTAATTAATCTTTCTATTTATTTTTACTCGTGTACTTTTGGCCTATCAAGAGAGCAACATTTTATTATTTTGAAGAAAAAAAACTCAAATAGGATAGTATACTTCCATTTATAAAATCATTTAAAAAAAATAAATTAACCTTATAGTAATAAATCAATAACCACTATTTTTTTATTCAATTTCAATCGATTCAGTTTTTCATACCCATCTCAAGTTATTATATTTAAACTACAAATTCAATAATATTTTAATATATTTTATATATCTTTAATTTAAAATACAATAAAATTCAAAATTTTATTTGATTTCTTAAAAGATAAGATTTCAAACAATTTAAAAAGAATGAAACCCGCTTCGGCTTTGCCCCGTTACGACCCCTATTTGTTAAGCGGGCTGACCGTTAGTGAGAACAGATGGACTCTGATCGCCAATTGGATAACTGTGCCGCCGTCTGCTTTCTAGCCGGCGATTATGCCGATGGCCACCAACAAGATAGACGGAAGATTTGCTCTAATTGTGATAGGCCAGTAAAAGTTTGTTTATGCAACATAATCCCATCGGATCCGATAACCACTGTTACTCGAATCGTAATTCTTCACCACCCTCACGAGCAGCGCCACAAGCTCGCTACGGTTCCTGTTCTATCCAAGTGCCTAGACAATTGCGATGTTATTGTTGGCCGGAGATTACGCTACGGTGATTGCGACATTCTAGATTCTCTCCATGATGATGCTCTTCGAAACCCTAATTTCACCAGCAGAGCTATTTTTCTCTTTCCTGGTATGAACTGTTTGTATAATTATCTTGTGTAGTTCCCATATGTGCTTAAATTGATAATTGTTTGAGGGCAAGTATGAAAACAATTTACTACTTCAGCTAAAGACTACAAAAACTCATATTGTACAAGTATCTTGAGTTTTGAGTTTTTGTTGTTGTCTCTTGATAATTTATCTGAAAAAAGTGCTGTCTCGTGATTCGCTCAACAGCTTGACCGCAGCAGATTACTTTTATCTAACTGAATTCCATGAATGTTTTTGTGGGCAGACATCTATGTGTTGACAAAAAGTTTGATTTTTTTTTGGTAGCCGTGGTTTCAGGCTAGATTAATATTTGAAAGAAAGAAAAACACAAAAATGCTCCCACAATTGGAAGATGATTCACCAGTAAAGAAAACAAGAAAATATATTTACTTTTGTAGGTATAAGGAAAGCCATTATGCATAGGTTTGTGCTTATGGAAAATTCATTACTTTTAATCCGGTATTATCGTGTGTTGCTTCTCTATGTACAAAGCTAATGGTACCTGGAAGATGAGACTGATAGTTACTAAAATAAAATTATCCTGAGGACTGAAGCTTTTGTTCTCTCCGTGTACGTAGAGAATATTGGGATCTTGGAACTATGGTCCTCCATGATATTTGTGTGAGCTTTGTGGAGTTGTTTATATCTTAATTATATATTAAAAGAAACAATAGATCTTAAGGTTTCAGTTTGATTCAAATAATCTTTTTGTTTTGCTACTCAAGTATATAATCGTCTTTTTGTATTTACGGTTAGTTTTCTTCCATTACATGTATATGTTCTTAACTGTTCTTTTCACTTGCGTTTTTCTTCACTGAAGCTCATGCCTCGGACTGCACTTTTCTCTTAAAGCTTCAGTAGACTTTAGTGCCTTCCCCTTTGACAATAATACCAAAATAAATTCTTAAAAAAGAAAAAGATACTGAATGTGGTCATGTGGTCATGTCGTCAAGCTTAAACATGAGTAATTGTTTATTGGTTGGCATATTGCAAGGCCAAACTCTGTATATTTAGAGCTAGAACTCAATCATCCTTGGACAAAATTTCTGTTGACTATTTATCTGGATCCTCATGCCATAATTATTCCATCACGTCAAATGAAAATATTTGTAAATGATCACATTTTCAATATACACCAATCCTTGGAGTGGCAGTCTCGTTCCCCCACCTCTCAAACCTGCAGGATACGTGCCAAGAGAAATAATATTCTTCCTTTCCTTTATTTCTCTCAGATTTTTTTATCTGGTTGTTGAACTAATGGAAATATTTTCATGTGATCGTGGCTTTTCCAGGTGCTGATACTTCACCATCTCAGGAAATCAACCATTGGAAGTCCTCTAAAAATACTGTAGAGATGACTAATTATGTCTTGATTGCTTTTGATGGAACTTGGAAGCATGCCCGAGAGATGATGCGAGCAAGCTTATCTTTTCTGTCCAAGTTTGCTATTCAGGTTCACTTAGACTATGATATTGGCAATGACGGTGGGACAATCTTCAATTCTGATTTAATTCTCAGGAAGGAACCGTTTAGTGGGTGCATGAGTACTATGGAGGCAGTAGCGCATTGCTTACGGATCCTTGAGCCTAATGGAATCAGTATAGAGTCAAATTTGATAGAGGTTTTAAGAAGTATGGTTAAATTTCAGGCATCTTTCCTCAAGCCTATGAAGCCTAGGCCAAAGTTGATAAAGGGAGGACGAGAGGGAAAAATATAATTGCTCTGTTCCATTTCTGTGTTTTTAAAGCAACATTTAGCACAAGGATAGCCTCAAATCTCTTTTGATTATCACGTGCCAGACTGATCAAGCCATCAACCTGTACATGATACTTATCCAGATTTCACAGGTTTCAACTTTCAATTCATATATATTACTGATGCTTATTGTGAAATTTTATATCCCGATTGAGTAATAGGCATGACGCCGAGGTGCTTTTGATGAGATTATCTTATTTCTTCAGTTGCTGAAAACTGTGTCAGGTGATGGCTTTGGTGGGTTGGGGTATATGGAAGTATCCTGCTTATGCTGAAGCAAGTAAAGCTTGAGATTAACCAAGGACGTTAAAGATTGTCACATGTTGAGTTCCTTATTGTATCTCAAAGTACTCTGAAATCAATTGCCGGCTATTTACACCAATTTTATAGAGATTGCCGTACAATGTTTGTGCAATGGAAATTCTTGTGAACGTTTTCATGATCAGTATATGATATCTACATATGGAACCTCATCTTGTTGTGAAAGGGTTAAATACTTCTGTAGTACAACATGATTATTTAGCAGTTTGCTCTAATGCTGTTTTGCTCCAACTGCAATGGCATCTGTTTGAGGTCAAATTTCTGTAATGTCAGCTTGGGAAATCTGAAGTTGTGGCTTGGATTCCTTCGATAAGCACTTGGATTCAGCTAAAGAACTGACAAGACATACCTAGCACAGCTTGCTGCGTAGTTTTCTCATATATCAGGTAGTTGGCCGATGTTCTTCAATCTAGACATGCCACAAGTTCTAGCAGTAGAACCAAATCGCTGTCAAGTCTTTGAAGTTTACGCTTTATTTGCTTCAAATTGGACAAAGAGGGTGTAAAAAAGATTAATGAGATTGTTGTCCTTACTTGAACTTTAAAGTTGGTTTCCAGAGTACTTTTTAGTTTGAATAACATTATTTGCTTAAGTGGCGGTGGTGTATTATTGCTTCATGTTAGCTTCAATTCATTGGTTTTCTGCACTTTGATCTGTACAGATCACGAACTACTCAAATCAAATTTGATAGGTATAACAAAACACTCATGAATGAGTGCAATGGTCTTGGACTCTCAGATTCAAGCTCTAGAAATGAATGTAACTCCAATAAAGCATGTTTCGTCTAGTCGAGCTACGAGGTTTCCATGCATAAAAGGGAAGGGGTAGCACTCTAGTTCTATTAGTTTGCCACACCAGAACAAGTTATTTTCTTTGGCGCCACACGACCCAGTTGGTAGCCAATTCGAGTTTTAAGCTTTTCTTCACAGGGAATCAACTGCTCTTTAGACCTCCCGCCGCTTTCGTCCTTGACAATGCGCGCATATGAACTGTCTAAGCAACGCCCTTGTCGTAGTGAGAACCAACAACAGCTTCCAAATATGGAAGTGGTGTATGTCTATGGCAGAAAAGTGCAACAATATGCGTCAACTCAAAGCTATCCACGCCATTTACATTACCCTCGGTCTTCAACGCAACACTTACGCCGTCAGCAAGCTCCTCGATTTTTGTGCCCTTTCAAATTCCGGCGACCTTTCCTACGCCTCACGGATCTTTGCCCAGGTTCAGACTCCCAATGCGTTCCTCTACAACGCCCTTATACGAGCCTACTCTAGCAGCCCACAACCCCAAGTTTCCCTCAATTACTTCAATCTCATGGTACAAACCAGTAACGCTGCGGCTCCTGATAGCTTCACATTTCCCTTCCTTCTCATCGCTTGCGCTAACGGTCCTTTGGAAGTGGAGGGTAAACAAATACACAGTTGGATAATCAAGAATTCCTTTTCTGCGTCAAATGCACATGTACAGACTGCATTAATTCGGTTTTACACGAACTGCAAAGCATTGGATGATGCTCGTAAGGTGTTTGATGAAATTACTGATATTGATGTTATTCAATGTAATGTTCTTATGAGTGGACACCTTCAAAGCGGACTAGCAAAGGAGGCATTGAGTATTTTTCAAGATATGTTGGGGCGTGGAGTTGGTCCAGATGAGTACTGTGTGACCACAGCACTTGGGGCCTGTGCTCAGTTGGGTGCTCTTGAGCAAGGAAAATGGATTCATGAGCATGTTACAAAGAGTGAGTGGTTGGAATACGATGTTTTTATCGGCTCTGCTCTTGTTGATATGTATGCTAAGTGTGGGAGTATTAACCTGGCTTCTGAGGTATTTGAGAGCATGCCTACGAGGAATAAGCATTCGTGGGCGACAATGATTAGAGGATTTGCTGTCCATGGTCGTCCTGAGCTAGCATTAAGCTGTTTGGAGAGGATGCAGGTGGCTGATGGGCTTAAGCCTGATGGTGTTGTCATTCTTGCAGTTTTAGCAGCATGTGCACATTCAGGGCTTCAGAAAGAAGGTCAAGGTTTGTTGGATGAGATGGAATCTTTATATGGCGTTACACCGGAACATGAGCACTTCAGCTGTGTAGTGGACTTGTTATGCAGAGCTGGCCGATTGGATGACGCACTTAAGCTTATTAGAAGGATGCCAATGAAACCACGGGCCTCTGTTTGGGGAGCATTGTTAAGTGGTTGCCGAAATCACAACAACGTGAATCTTGCAGAACTTGCCGTCAAAGAGATTTTGTTGGTAGAAGATGGCAATGAAGCTGAAGAAGATTCTGCTTATGTTCAACTATCAAATATATATTTAGCAGCTCGACAATGTGATGATGCACGTCGAATCAGGAGGAGAATTGGTGACCGAGGGCTCAGGAAGACACCTGGATACAGTGCAATTGAGATTGATGGGATGGTTAATGAGTTTATATCTGGAGACGTTTCCCATATATGTCTAGCTGACATTCATAAGGTGCTTGATCTAACATATCTAGATCCCCATTTCGACAACCTAATATAGCATGAACAAGTTTACTTGAGTGCCATATAGGACATCATATTGTTGTACGGGGCATTTATTTGGAGACCTATTGTTGACTTGCAGTATCAAGCTAAATTTGTTATGTGTTATATATCCTAGCAACAACCTCTAATGTTTCTCAAATTTCCTGAGCAAAGGCTGCATCCATTATGGATATTCTCATAGTTTGAAAACAATGAATAGTGACATCATTTAATATTAATACCAAATTCATTTGCTAAATAAGTATTCAATATAATATAAGCATAAAAATCTTAGTAAATTGATTGATCGGTCAGAACTTTCATTTTGTTTTCAAGTAAAAAAATTTATAATATTAGCGTTAAATCGTATATTTTGATTTATGTACGAATTTTTTCGCTCATTAAAACATCAATGATATTTTCCTTTTGGTTTGTGTATGTATGAGTAGATTGCATTAATTGGTCGGTCGGTGCCCACAAAATTATAGTCTGGAATTTGGCTTTACTCTATACATTTGATGTTGATGGTCAACTCAGACTCCAATTCACGGGCCACGGCTCACCCGAATTTCTTCTCTTCTCTTCTTTCAGTTATTATTATTATTTTGCTTGACTATAAACTAGCTAACTACTACTATCATTTCCATTTTATTGGTGTAACAATAATATAATTAAGAAAAATGAAAATATTTCTTTATAATCAGGCCAATGTGAAATCATAGTAACATTTTTACTTGTTCTCTCTAAAATATAATAAAATTCTGCGTGGATACGAAGATATAGTGAATATTTACCATTGTCAGATACTCATATCAAATTATATTTCAATTTTTCGTAATTAAGTGGTTTAATAAATAAATTAACTAGATTAAATGATATCAATTTACATTTACATAAATTATATGCTTATTGATTTAAGGTATACTCAATACATGTGAACTTTTACCTAAAGATATTATATCCACTTTCAAGTCAGTAGCAATTGAGGAAAGATAAATGGTCACGCGCTTCTTTTTTAAAAAAAAAAATTCTTAAAGAAAACTATTTTTTAAATGCGCACACGGAAAAATCTTTGCTTTTACGTAATAATTCACAAATCACAAAGAGGAGGCAACCCGCACTAGGGAAGCCAGGTGCGACGAGCTCAGCCTAGAAGGCAAATCTTTACTTTCGCTGGGCAACAAGTTTCGAACTTGAGACAAACTCAAACTCATGGGCCACCCCAAAAGGTTAAGGGCCACATACTTTACTTCCGCAATTTTGATTTATTTGGTTGATATGACTTGACATTAAGATTCTTTTTGAATTTTATGGTGTTGAATTTAAAGTATGTCAAATATATTAAAATAGTATTTATTTTATGATATTAATATGTCACGAGAAAAGTAGAGATGTCAAAATGGGTTGACCCAACTCTAACGGGCTAGAGAGTTAAATAGATTGGGACATGCTGACCCTTTTAATTAAAGGGTCAATAAAATAGCGATCCAACCCAGCCCTAAGCGGGCCATGGGTTGGGACGGGTTGACCCTTCGACAAAAAAATGAATGATATTACTTTCTTAGAAAGAGTATCGAATGTTGACGTCATGAACACGACATCAATTCATACAAGAATTCATTTATAAATCACACTTCGGTAAATACTTATAAAAATACATTTATGAATCACACATTTTGGTGACATAATAGACAACGTAAGATTTAACTAATAAATGTTGATTATTCCATCATTTCTCCCACAAAACACTAGCTGGTTTAAAAGATTTTCAGCAACACAAGACAGCTTAAATACTTAACAAATCTAAATTTCTAAATATTACATGACTCGTTAACTAATGTTTTATAGTCCGCTTCTACTTTCACCATCGATCACATTTGAATCAACATATGATATTATTTCTTTAAGAAGTTCATCTTCATCTACAATTTACCATGCAAAATGATATTGCAAAATACTTGATTTTTTATTTTTCAGAATATTTATTCATAAAATCTTTATAAATAAAACACTATTAAAAATATATATAAAAATATTTTAAAAGATTAATAGCCCAAGAGCTGGTCTCTGAGGCTTGCGGATTTGGCCTAAGAGTCCAACGGCCCAAATGGAGTGGACTAAAAAGCCTCGTTCGTAAATGGATCAAAAATATTAAATCCACTCCCACTTATTTCAAGGGTTTGGATTAGGCCGACCTTGCTAGCCAAGCCCATTTTGACAGCTTTAGAGAAAAGTTAAAATTTAAAAAAGGAAAAATTACATAAATTAATACATTTTAAAAAATAATCACTAATTTTAGTGATACTTTTTGTTTATTACCATTTATAGCAATATTGTAATAAGTCTGTAATATGTATTAAAAGTGAATTATGTATCAATATATTTGAATTATAATTGTTTTTTAAATATATTATGTTTGTTTGGTAAAATAATTGTCATATTGTATTATAAGTGTATTAAAATGTTTGATAAATATATTATCCATCATTAAAACTTGTATTATATATAAATAATAAATTATTATTTATAATATGTATTAAATTTGTATTATAAATGAATTAAAATTAGTCAAGTAAAAAAATATTATTACTATAAATATTAAGTATATTTTTATTATAATATATTTATATAAGTTTTTCTTTAGAGAATTATCAAAAAGAATAAAATTAATATTAAAATGCACAATCTAAAACAGAATAAGATGGGAATGTTCTAAGGACACGATTAACCTTTGTGGTCCCAAATAATCTTATAAATCCTATTTTCCTTTGACCACTTATCACATTTTGAAGTTTGAACCAACAAAATAGAATAAACAAGTACACCGTTACTATTTATTTGTTCATCAAATTTTAAATTCGCAACGTAGGTTATTAATCACACTTAATTGCTCAAAATATTATATTTTCAGTTCTATGTATTTAAATAATGAAAAACAAAAACAAGCACATATCGTAACACTCTTTAAAATAAATTAACTATAATTAAAAAAATATAAATATCAATTATTAATAAAATAAATAAATAAAAACTGATTAAATTTAATACATTTTGATGATACATTTTAAACATAGTACAATTATGAACACAATAAATAACACTAATGTACCAAATATGAAAAGTATTATCGTAACTTAATAATTGTATGTATATTTAGAGAAAATATCTTTACAAAGATATTCATTTATATATTTTATTTAAAAAAGAATCATCATATAAATAAATGAACATATAAATATACAAATTACAATGATATTAAAGGTGATATCCTTTATATATATTTGGAGGGACCCTATCAAAAAGTTGTATCATTTTCAAAAAATTCACCTGCAAAGTGCAACGTTTATTACAGCATATAGTACTAATATATATAAGTATATACTTGTCTAAACTTTGGCATGAGGGCGCTGATGCCCCTTCATTGCCTCTATGAGTCGCTGTCTATGTGTTATAAAAGTTGTGTACATAAAAAGTTGCATATGACTTATGTTCGTAAAATTAATTGAAATGCGTATAAATTATTTTCTAAAAACATATCACGCTTTGAATCACGTAAAAAAAAACATACTAAGCAAAATGACAAAATTATAAACCTCGAGTTGGGGACCTCTTATACTTTTTTTTTTATTATTAAAAAATAATGGAACATGATGATAGACAAAAAGACAGTAGGATCTTTATAACAAACAATGACAGCAGGGATAAAGCAGCACCAATCCTTAAAGATTACCTTTCCACGTCCCCTTTTCCAAGTTTCCTTTTGTCTTTCACTTTCTCGTTATGTATATTCCAGAATCGAACTGAGTAATTAATAAAGTGAATTGAAAATTATATGATTTTAAAATTTAAATTTCAGCATAAGCATAATTTTAGTTATATGAATATATTTAAGTTGAGAATTTTTTGAAATCAATCTTTTCGTCTTAATGAAATAATGATAAAATCTACCTATATATAACCTTCTTTCTGATAGTAGGTAAATAAATTTAGATATGAATAAATTAATTCGAATATAATTATTATAAAAAAATTTGTGTACTCCGGAATTCGAGATTATCCTACATTAGCGACCTCCTAGTGGATTAGGTACAATAGTAATTTCATTTTTTCTTTCTTGATGACGGTTCGCAGCAGCCTTTTTCCCCTGTACTCGTGACTCCATGTGTTTGTAGCGTAAAGCCTTATCAAGATTCTCTAAGATTTAAGTATAATACGGTGGAGTTTTCGATCTTCACCTTATTATATTTTATTATCTCCTATACTTTATCCCACACAGGATTCTTGAATCTGTGGTATCTTTTACTTCTTTCAGACTTTTTTTTTTCGTAAAAGAAAAGGACCCTTTTTCCCATTTTCTTGAATTAGTGTTTGTTTGTTTAAATGGTAAGTGGGGTTGAGAGAAGTGCAAATCTTGGAGCTTTTTGTCAGTCAGAGAAGAAGAAAGAGAAAGACAAGAAAAAGAAGATGAAGATGAAGAAGGAGAAGGAGGAGGAAAGTGTCGGGAAGAAGATAACTATTGGTGTTTGTGTAATGGAAAAGAAGGTGAAATGCGGCTCCGAGGTTTTGTTCTATGTTGTGGTTGCAATTGCACAGCATGCATCATTACCAGTCTACTAGTTATTAGCTTTCCAGTAGGTAGATATTAGGGACCCCACACTGATTCGTTTTCCCTTTGTTTAATGAAATTTAGGTATTTTCTGCGCCAATGGAACAGATTCTTGAAAGATTGCAGTGTTTTGGGGAATTTGAGGTATTCATCTTCTATACTGATTTTGCAATGTGTATTTTCTTATTTGTGATTAAGAGTATATTATCTTTACTTGTAGGTTGTGTACTTTGGGGACAAAGCTATTCTTGAGGATCCAATTGAGTGGTACATCCATTTCTACTTCGTATCTATGATTTGTTATGCATCTTTTCCATGAAAAATCGTGTCTGTCATAAACTATACTATATACTCTGTTTCATGTTAATTTACTAGCCTACTATGTTGTGGTGACAGCTGGCCGTTATGTGACTGCTTGATTGCCTTCTACTCCAGTGGATATCCATTGAAGAAGGCAGAAGCATATGCTGCATTAAGAAAGTAAGTTCCATTCATCCTTTGCACTATGTTGTTTTAATGCCTAGGCATGCTCGCTTTCAATTTTATGGCATTTT